TTATATCGAGTGAAACATTAATAGTTTTGGTTTTGTTCTTAAAAAAATCTTTACTATAAGCCAATCTTCACTATATCGAAGGTTCACTATAACGAGAGTGACTTGTATCTTAAAAATTTTTAAAACTATAAAAATAATAAAAATAACTGAATAAATATGGGCACTGTTTTGAAGATCAAACTCTTAAAGTGATATACTTAATTCAAAATAATACTCATAGATACCTTGAAATTATAGATTAAGTTTGATATTGATTTTAACTATTTTAATTTCAACAATAATTTTAGCAATAATTTTAACAATAATGTCAGTAATAATTTTAACAGTTTAATAATTTTATAATTAAATATAAAATCAACTACGTATGCTATTTAATTTAGTTTAGTTTAACAAATTGTTTGCATAATTTAAATTAATTTTTACTATTAAAAAAACTAAATTATTAATTTTAACACCAAATAATTTTAGCAATTTCAACAAAAACTTTATTAAAAGGGTAATTTTACCATCTATACTTGAATAATATATACCTTATATAATGTTTGCGAATTTATAATATAAAAAATAACATTAAAAAAATTAACTCTATCTCTTAAAATAATGCATGTGAGTGTAACCAAAATAAGCACAGGTACTAAGAAAGTGTGCAGATATGCATTATTTTGTGGTTTCCAGTAGATAGAATTTATAATATTGCAAAGAAAAAAAAATTAAATATCAATATTTTCACTTTTCAAAAATTCATGAGTTTTTATATAATCATTCAAAGCTGCTAGCCTTAAATAACTTAACTCAATTTCTCAATTAGCTTCTACAATACTTCCCATTAATATAATTTGACTAAATAATACTCTGCTTTTTTATTTCTTTGATTAGCTGATAATTTCAAATATTTAAAAAATTCCTTTTGTTTTTTTAGATCTTTCATATTTTTAGATATGATAAATGTATAATGTAATTTAGCAACTGCAAAACCATAATCAGTGGCTTCCTTAAAAAGTCTCTTAGCTTCTTCGAGATTTTTATCAATAATATAGCCCTTAGATAGATAATAGCCTTTTCAGAATTTTGCTATAGGATTTCCTAGATCAGCATTTGCAACAAAATATTGCTAAGCTTTTTGTATACTTTCTTCATCCCCTTTATAGTAAAGCTCAATTTCTTTTTTAAGAGACATGATCATCTCAAATGCATTATTATCAAATTCTAATTCTTTGAATTCAATATCTGGCATTATCATTCTAGTGCAAATGCTATTCATTCTGTTTAAATCTATGCTTTTGTCTAGAAGAAAACTATAAGAATAGACAGTCTTAACATATTTTGCTTTCAATTCTGATAATTCTAAAAATAATACTGAAATACTAATTCATGTTTGTGGCTTATTGTCTCATATTTAATAAAAAAATTATAGCTTAAAATAAAAGAAATTAATATATGAATGCAAATTGATGGTACAAATTAATAAATTGTACTTACTTTTCTTAATAATTTCGCAAATTCTTTTTAAATTTCTTTATCTTTTGGTTGCTTTTCACTACCTATTATCAAATTTTCTCTTTTACTACTGAGAACATGTTTCTTTATATCTTCAGGATTGTAGTTTTTATAGACTATTTTTTCATAACAAAGCTTCTATAAAAGCATTTCAAAACTATCAATATTTTCATAAAGTATTAATAAATACTTGTATATATTAAAATAAAATTTATAAAATGGTATTGTAGTGCAGTGTTGGCTTATGACCTTAAATGACCTATATGACCTTTATGACCTATCATAGGTCATTTGGTCATAACAAAGGTTGATATGACTTTATAACCTTTTAATATAGTAAGATTCATAATAAAAAAAATTTTTACTAATATTTGATATGACCAATATGACTTATGACCAAAAAGTCATATGATTATATGACCAAAGTCATATCGAAAAAATGTTATGACCTATGTCATTGGCCAACACTGTTGTAGTGAGATTATGTATATAGAAATATATGTATGATAGATGTAGATCATCTAGTTGTAAAAATAGTCCATACAATAATAAAAGTACTTGACTAAAGAGGTCATCTTAATACCAAAAAAAAAAATTTAAAATAAAATTTAAAAAAATAATATTTTGAACTTAAATAGTTCATATTTATGTGTGTGGCTACAATCTAACATTTTTTTAGAGGCTAGCCAATTATAAATTGCTGATATTGTAAGAATTTGAGATATTTCTTTAGTAATATGACAGCATATTCAAAATTTGTAAGCTTTGGTCCAAGTTTTTTGTTATTTAATAGCAATTTAAGATTTTAATTACTGTACAGTACTGATTAAAAGACCTGGGGTCTAAAACAAATTACCTAACCAAAAACCTATAAAATACCTGGGTATATTGTACAGCAGAGGGTCTCTATCACAAACTGGAAAAATTTCAAATGAATATTTATTCCTTAATCATAGTATACATTCTGAGATTTTAAAAAGAGCTGATCACAATTAATAGAATTTCTGTAATTTTTACACAGGTATTTTACACAGGAGATATAATAAAATGGGGATCTTTTAATCAGTGCAGTATAGTATATCTAATTATATGCAAAGGATGCAATAAAATATTTATATACCATTACATTTCGCATCTTATATTATGATAAAAAATTTTTACTTTCTGTAAAAATGTAACTTCTCAGCAAATATCAAGAGCTAAAAGTATTTTATTACACTATGGAATCATATTTTTTTTATAAACTTCTTTAAGATTTTCTAACTTAGCCTATTCAAAAACTATAATATTTTTGTTATCAGTATAAGAAAGACTATAAAATTTGAGAATATTCAGTCTATTATTTAATTTTTCCAGGATCAATAATTGTGATAGAGTTCTTTTAGAGTCTTGTGTATCTTCCTTTTGAAGGGTGACAGGTTTACAGACAACATCCTCATATTCTCAAAATATCTTTTTAACAATTATATCTCTAATATTATCTCTCTGTC